TGGGTTTTACCCCTTTCTCCTGCTCTTCTGGCCTGCTACTCTGTGCTATGCCCGTGCTCACCTTGCTCCCGGAGACCCGGTCCCCCTCGGGAGGGTAACAAGGGAAAGTGATCAGTGCAGATCAGTGAGAAAGCACCAGCCTGCCCGTGCTTACCTTGCTCCAGGAGACCCGGTCCCTCTCGGGAGGGTAACAAGGGAGCCGTCTGAGCACTAGTGACTGGGTTTTACCCCTTTCTCCCGCTCTTCTGGCCGGCTACTATAGCCAAATAGCAGAGAGTTTTGTGTGCTATATTTTATATGAGTTTCTATCATTTTAATCCAGGAGTAGGAAGGCTGGATGTCCACGATGCAGTCAGATAGAGGATTTAAGCCTGTCTTAAAAGAAAAATAGGAGCTCTGGTAGTGTAGTGCCTAAAGCATTTGACTGCTAACCAGAAGGCTAGTGGTTCAAACCCACTAGCCACTCCTCGGAAGGAAGATTGGGTGATCTACTTCTGTAGTGATACCGCCTCAGAAACCCAAGGAGGGGTTGCTATGAGTCAGATCTGACTTGACAGCAGTGAATTTTGAATTAAAAGAAAAATATACTTCTATTAGATGAAGAAAAAAAAAAAAAATATGAACAGTAGCTTAAGGTAAAGAATTGTGTTTTAAGAAAGAGAAGCCTGAAGCTTTTAGATACAAAACAGCTGATCTGGTTTCTGGTTTTACTTTTTCACCCTGAAAATAGAACACATGTTAACCAGTTGCCCATTTTCAAGGGTAATTACATTGGAATCCCAAATTAACTCTATGTACCTTTACTAAATTGCCTTCAACTAGTTCTCTTCCTAACAGCTGGAGAATACAAGTTCAAATCAAAGCCTAACTACTTGTACCAAAAACCATGCAATATAGAAAATATATACCAAGTGATATTTTCATGGCCAAGCTGTTTTCTAAAGTAATCCTGTAGTATGAAAAGAAAGCCACCTCTTCCTTAAATTAGAGTTGCTGTCCCTTTTACTAGTCTAGAACATTCCCAGCCTTACAGGTAAGACTGTCTTCCTGAAGACAATATCTATCATTATTTCTGACCTAGACTAAAAAGAATTAGATTAACCAGTAGATTGTTAGGTGCAGAAAAGCTTTTCATGATGATGATGATAAACTCTGAATATTCGAACTAAGCATTTTGGAAATTACCTAAGTGAGGACTAAAACATGTTCTTTCTTTCTTTGGAGCATATATTGTATCTATTTAATCTATTCAGCTAAACAAACAAATGAACAAATACCGACAAAACCAATATAATTTTTTTTTTAATGGAAATATATCTGCTTGTAATGGTACAAGAAAATGATAAAAACCCTATGGGTGAAAATTTTTAGCTGTGATCTCTAAAAGGGCATATTCATAGAGCACATCTAAACATATACAATACAAAATACATAGACAATGTAGAACTGGCCTCCTGGGCTACCAACAACTTGATTCTCTGTGACGGTTTCAAAGGCCTCTTGGAAAATGTGACTGTACAATTTTTTAGATTTTTACTTTTTAAAAACTACCCCTAGACATGTATTTCAACCCCTGTTCTTGATCTGTGACAATAATTCAATCTTTGTCAACTCAGTTACAGGGAGTCTATGGCACTCTGTAAAAGACTGTGCATATGTTGGACCTGTCCCTGGCCTCCTGTCTTGGGGCCAGTCATTGCTGACTCAGCCTCCTCCGAAGAATGGCAGTAAGTCTTTGTCTGGTCTCAATTCCTGAAGATGCAAGACCCCTGGGAGGATGTGGTTGAGGGAGAACAGGCAAACTTGAGCTGACCATCCTCTTGGACTGCTCTGGGGAAATGGTGGGTTTTGACACTTGTTGCAGGCTGGGGATTTTGACTCCTTTTTCAGAGTTCAGTCTTGCAAAGCTTTTTTCTCCATGATTATTAACTGCTGCAGCAGACGAGGTTAGGCTGCCCTGGCTGAGGGAACACGGTGACAACGGTAATCTTCCGTTGAGCTTCCTAAGCTCTAGGAGCTGTTCTCTGGCTTGACTCAAAGCCTCCGTCAATTCAAAGCGTTCTTCACACTCTCTACGCACTGTTTCCTGAAGAAAAGTGTTCTGAAAATAGAAAAAAAATCAACTTCATTTTAAACAGTGTATTTACATGAATAGTTATTGGCAGTATAAATTGAGAACTGAAATGGTGAAAGTTTACAGAGCAAATTCGTTTTCCATACAGCAGTTCATACACATTTTGTTTCATGACATTAATTGCAATTCCCATAATGTAACAGCTTTCTTCCTATTTCCTCCCTATGGTTACCTTTTCCCTGTGTCCTTCTTTCCTATGGATTCTTGTCCCCTGAGCTATCTGCCTGTGCAAATACTGCCCTTCTGATCTCCCATGATCGATTGTTCTAAGAAGTATATCTACCTGATAGAAATGTTCACCTTGTATGCCAGTCTATTGTTTGGCTAGAAGCCACAGGAATGAGTTCATTTCCAGGCATGAAGGGTGACCGAGGGCCATAGTCTGAGGAGTTTCACTGATCTTTATCAGACCAGTAAGGCTGGTCTTTTTTTTTTTTTTTTTAAATGATACTGAGTTTTGGTCCACATTTACCTCCCACTCTATCCAGGATCTCTTGCTCTGATCCCTTTCTGAGTGGTTGACAGTGGTAGCTAGGCACCATCTACTTCTTCTGGTCTCAAGGTCATGTAGGCCAATGTTTGCATGGTCTACTAGTCCCCTGGACCATGGTTTTTTTGTTTCCTTCATTCTTCTTTGCTCCGGACAAGGTGAGACCAATTGTTGTATCTAGATAGAAACTTGCTATCTAGTTGCTACTCACCAAATTAGGATGTAGAACAATGTTTTTGTGTAGCATATTATGTCATTTGAGCTTGACGTCCTTGCAACCATAGTCCCAAGCCCAACAATTTGCTCCTTCAGGGTGGTTAGCTGTGGCCAAGAAGTTATCATAAATTTGTGCCTTGTTAGTCTATTTATATGAACATTCTTACAGCACATACAAATATGTTGTAGAAATATCATCTGCCAAACTTATATATGGTCATGGGTATATTTCCTTTTGCCTAGACATCTCTGACCATTCAGCCTATATATCTATGTATCTACCTGAAGGTTAATGTTTGTTATTACTGATAATGCAGTATTGTATATGTGGGAGTGTTTCTTTTTGTTGTCTGTACCTTTTATGCACCTCTCTTTGTCTTCCTTTTCCTTAGTGTTTTGTGTTGGTCACTCGCTTTTGGTATAATGCCTTTCCCTTTGCCCAAATCAATACTTGTCTCTCTCTATTTCCAACTTCTGAAGGAAGCAGCATACCACTTTCCACATGGTTGTACCATTTTATAATCCTAACAGCAGTGTATGAGTGTTTCAGTCTCTCCCCACCCTCACCAGCATTTGTTGGTTTCTGTTTTCTTGACCTTTGCTGTTAATACTGGCATAAGATGATATCTCATCATTGTTTTGACTTGCATTGCTCTAATGACTAATGATCACAAACTTCTGCATGATCATATTCCACATGATCTTCTGCTTGTGCTGCAACCAGTTTTGAATTATCTTCAGCATAATTTCACTTGCAGGTGATATAAATAATATTGTTCAATAATTTCCACATCTGTTGGATCATTTTTTTTTGCAATAGGCACATGTATGGAACTCTTCTATTTGGCATGCCAGTTAGCTGGCTTCCAAATTTCTTGGCATAGACAATGAGTGCTTCCAGCACTGTATTCATTTGTTGAAACATCTCAATTTGTATTCCATATATTCTTGGACCCTTGTTTTTGGTCAATGCCTTCAGTGCAACTTATACTTTTTATATCAGTACTACCAGTTCCTGATCATATGTTACCTCTTGAAATGGTTGAACATCAACGTATTCTTGGTATTTTCTGTCTTTCTAATGACCTTTTGCTTTCTTCACATATGAAATGATGTCCTTTTGTATCATCCCACAACTTGTCTGATCTTTGGAAATTAGTGTTCAATGTGCCAAACCTATTCTTGACATAACCTCTAAATTCTGGTGGGCTATACTAAACGTCATACTTGGCTCTTGTGGACTTGTTTTAATTTTCTTTGGCTTCAACTTGAATTAGCATATGGGCAATTGATGGTATGTTCTGAAATTGGCCCCTGGCCTTATACTAACTGATGATATTGAGCTTCTCCATTATCTCTTTCCACAAACGTAGTAGACTTAATTCTTGTGTATTCCATCTGGCAAGATCCAGGTATATAATCATAATTTATGTTGTTAAAAAAAGATATTTCCAATGAATAAGTCATTGGTCTTGCGATGGTATTATTTCTATTGCTGAGGTTATTTCTATCATCAAGGCATCATTTCTATCACTGAGGTCATATTTTTCAACTATTGATCCTTCTTTGTTTTCAACTTTTGCATTACAATCAACAGTAATTATCAGTGCATCTTGATTGTGTGTTTGATCAATTTCAGACTGAAGAAGGTGGTAAAAGTCTTCAATTTCTTCATCTTTGGCATCAGTTTTTGGTGCATAAATTTGAAGTTATGTTAACTGATTCTTCCTTGTAGGCATATGGGTATTGTTCTATCACTGATAGCATTGTATTTCAGGATAGATCTTGAAATATTCTTTTTGTCGGTGAATATGATGCTATTTCTTGTCAACTTGTCATTCCTTGCATAGTAGATCATATGACTGTCCCATTTAATATGGCCAATACCAGTCCACTTCAGCTTATTAATGCCTAGGACATCAATCTTCAAGTGTTCTTTTTCATTTTTAAAAACTTCCACTTTTCCCCAAACATTTGTCTGTCAGTATGTCATACTGTGGTGGCTTGCGTGTTACTGCGAGACTGGAGGCAATTTTCCTAGATTCATATTTTGTACATTCCATGTTCCAATTATTAATGGATGTTTGCAGCTCTTTCTTCTCATTTCGAGTCACGCCATATCAGTAAATGAAGTCCCAAAAGCTTAACTCTATCCATGTCATTAAAGCTGACTTTAGTTTGAGGAGGTAGCTCTTCCCCAGTTGTATTTTGAGTGACTTCCAACCCGAGGGGCTCATCTTCTGGCACTATATCAAACAATATCCCAATGCTATTCACAAGATTTTCACTGGCCAATTTTTTCAGAAGTAGATTACCAGGTCCTTCTTTCCAGTCTGTATTAGTCTGGAAGGGTCACTGAAACTTTACCATGGTTGACTCTGCTGGTATTTGAAATACTAGAGACATAGCTTTCAGCATCACAAAAACAGGCAAGGCACTATAGTACAATGAACTGATAGATGAGAGGTGGTCATAACTACGGGACCTGCTCTAAAGGAATGCTAAAGAGAATATATAAGATGGAAAGGAAAGGACACTAGACAATAACTGGAAGCTGTACATAGGGGAAAAAAAGACCACAATGAAAAATAATTTTATGGGCAAGTATAAGAACCAGTTTATTTTTTGTTTATAATTTTAGTCATGTCCTTCATGCTTTATAAATTAAAAATGTATAAAAATAAGTATAAAGATATTACAGGGCACATGATGGATAAAGATGTAATAGGTAATGAAAATAGCATAAACATTCTAAGAGT